GGTCCCCCATGCATAATTGTTTTGGGGAGACTGTAGAGAAGCTTGGCTACTGGCTCCTTGTCCAACTAGCTGCTGTTTCTTGCTGGGTCACCAAGATAAATTGACCTTTTAGGCTATGAGTTCTCAGGCCTAGCTCTGGCCGAATCTCAAAGCAGATGTCTGAGTCCACAGTTAATGTGGTTTACATATGCATATGGTGCTGCACCGGACTAGATCCTGGCCATGGATTTCCAAGAGGCAGATGTGCTAGACTACGGGTTTAGCTTAAAGATTCCAACACCAATTCCCCTGCTCGATCACTTCTGCACCCTCCCGCCCCAAACACAGTGTAAGAGCACTCAACCCACCAGATGTGAGACCTACGTGTGGCCACAGGCATACTAGCCCTCTTCTTTCAGTCCCAGGACATTGGGTCTAGTCAAGGACAGGCATTAGGACTGTCCAAACCCAGCAACAGGGCTGACTGCTTTCTGCTTCATCTCTTCCTGGGGCCACTCCAAAGCATGCTGGGCACAGTTCCTTGCCTGAGTAAGTAGAACGTGTTCAATAAAACCATTGTGTCTTTTGATGAACTCAGAGCTGGAATTTTTAAAAACAGCAGCCTCTATCCATGTGCCAGGCACATAACCAGCTCCAAGCAGAACCTACGTGGGCAGGAGTCAGTCAACAGCACAGCAGGAAGGGTGGGAACCTTGTTCACACACTCTGAATCTATGGACAGTCTCATGTCTAGAAGAGTTTCTGTTGCTTTTCATGAAGCGTTCAGTCTTCACAGCTAAATGCTGTTTTCCTCACTTTGGAAAGAGATGTGAGTTTAAGAAATACACACTACTCTTGTAACTCTATGAAGGGGAAATGAGAGAACAAACCGTAGGGCGGTGAGGCTCCCCCGTAACGCCCATGGGCCGCACTGCTACAGTAACAGCCTTCACTTGCTATGCACCAGGCTCTGTGTTGTACCCTTGACCTTTCCTAAGAGCACCTCGAAATAGGCATGAATGCTGTGTTCATTGTAAGGTGGAAAAATTGAGATACAGAAAATTGAACCCCCTTTTGCAGATTTACAGTTGGTGAGTTGGCAGAGCCAACTCTGTGTCTCAGGCCCAAACAAAGCTAGAGAGAGAGCAACTAATGAGTCTTTACTACCTAAGATTGGGAGCGCCTAGACCCAAGTTAGAGTGGGGCCAGGGACACAGGGCAGTATCAAATCACAAAACAGTCTGGGCTGGCTGAACCTTAAGAGGTGCCCCAAGTTTTCAGGGCTTCTTTTTCTGACTTGGGCACTCCCGCCCCAGTGAGAAGGGTCCTGAGTTTGCTCATCCTTCCTGAGAAGGGAGAAGAAGTGATTTTGGAAGCTACAGATGGAACAGCAGATGGGAAGTGAAAACCTATCAGAGTTGCCCAGGATAAAACCATTCATCTGCAAAATTCATATGTTTTGGGGGCGACTTCATGAAAACAACAGCAAGAGGAACCAGCAGTGCTTGACGCAGAAAATGCCTCTGGCCATGAGGCTGCCAGAACAGAATGGGCAGAAGAGGCATCATGTGGGGAGGGTGTGCACCATGACAGTGACAGCAGGGAGAGGGAGAGGAAGGGCAGGCTAGACCCACCGCCATCGGGCCACCTGGAGTGAGAGAGCCGAAAGAATTATAAACACCATAGTTTTCTTTTGTGAACCCCAGAACGAGGTGGCCACCTGAATTAAAAGAATTTCAAGGACCTTTGAGTAGATACCAGATGCAGCCTTGACCATAGTAAACAGCTGGCAGTTCTGGAGCACCTTCCAAGTGCCCTTGTGGTCCACTGTCCTACCTCAGGATTGCCAATGGTCTCACTGTCTGTTATGTAGCAGAACTCAAATTTGAATCTGAAGCAGTCTGGTAGGAGTCTGAGTGTTTACCTTCTTGGGTGTTCCTCCAAACTGGACCCTGGTTTAAGCGGCTACCTTACGGCTTCAACTTGTAAGCAGCACAACACAGCACCTCTAGGGGGCAGCAGTGCACACTCCTGCTGGCTTTATAATTTTGGCCAAGTGCCACCATCTGACGCAGGCAGACATAACCTCTGAGGCTTCCGTGGAGCCTGGAGAAGCAAGAGCATGAGAACCACAGCCAGAGCCGCTCAGACTCAGACCCAAGAGGTAGCCTCCAAGGACCCTCCCTTGATACTCTCTGCTGTAAGGTGGTCTAACCACTCTGAGCTCACAATCCCAAGAGTCTGAGCTATATCCTTCTGCATTTGGAAGGCAGTTGAGACTGCTGGTTTCCTAAGAGGTAAATTTCAAGCAGAAAGAATAACAACTACGGGACCAGAAAAAACTGATCTAATGTTTGTTCTGCCGTGCACATATCACGTGGCCTTGGGCTTCAATTTATCCAGCTGTAGAGTAGGTTTGCTGTAAAGTTGAAGGAAGTTCCAACCATATTAGCTGCTGTATGCAGCATTCCAGAGGGCACTTCTGATCTCAGTCCTTTTGTGGAAGACTGAAGATGTTCTGGCTCCCTCCACCATAAGGTGGCCATCTAAACAGGCCTCATTCTTTCATTATAATCTACCCATTACACTTCACCTCATTCTTTCATTATAATCTACCCTTTACAAAAATCTCAAATGTAACAAGTTTGTTCCTCACCCATCTTAGACCCACACTGTTCCTTCTATCAGAAGAGATGGCTTTCAACTAGAGGTACCTTGGCACTATGGGGAGATTTGGCAGTGTTTGGAGATACCCATAGGTAGGGTGTGCTGTTGGCATTTAGCAGGCAGCAGCCAGGGATGCTGCTGAACACCCTGCAAGACAGCTCCAAGCAATGAATTACCCAGCTCCAGGCATCAAAAGAGCCATGGCTGGGAAGTCCTGTTAAAGAATAACCTCTTTCATGTTTTCCTGCCAATCAATTTCTTCTCTCTGCAGGTCTCAACTCAAGGTTGGATATTCCAAGGCCTTCTGATCTGCTTATGTCCCTCCAGTCCCTCCCCATTTACATATCCTTTTTTTCTAGTCCTTGACCATCTTGCCTTGTGTCACCCTTGCTCAATTATCTACTGCTGTCTTCCCAACTAGGATGTGCGCTCTGTAAGATAGGAAGGAAGTACAAGCTGCTTTTGTTTGTTAAATGCCCAAATATTGCATAGCATGGTAGTTGTTCAATAAATATTTGCTGAGTAAATAAAAAGTCAAGGTAAGTAAAAATCCAACAGCAGTGTTTGTAAAACAACAACAACAACAACAACAACAACAACAACAACTCCCTTTGTTCCCTCACAGCCTATGAACAGGTGTCTTTCCTTGGCCTGTCATTTTTCTTAGGTTCCATGGAGCCTGATACATCCTTTTTTTTTTTTTTTTTGCAGAACCGGGGATTGAACTCAGGCCTTTGCACTTGCCAGGGATTGATATATCTTTTACAGTGTGGTCAGAAATTGTGCCTCACCTTAAACTCTGGAAAGCACCAGTGTCTCCCAGAATGATGACCAGCATGCAGAAAAGTTCCAAGACCATGTTATGAAGGAGAAAGCCACTGCCAACATTACAGGGAGATCTTCCTTCATGCCTGCACTTCATTAGGATCTTGACTCAACTCCCAAACTCTTGGAAAGCTGGGACTTGGATATGTTAACTCTCTGCCTCAGTGAGGCTCCAGGGAGGGCTCACACACTGTCTCCAGAACATTTCATAATACTGTGTGCAGACTGGTCTTGAGAATCACTCATGTATCCATCCGTCCATCCACCCACCCATCCATCCACCCACCCACCCATCCATCCATCCATCCATCCATCCACCCACCCATCCATCCATTTGCTTGCTCAGAAGATATTTATTGAACACACTATTCACTTGCCTGCGTTTGAGGATGTATCAGTGCACTAGGCACACTGAAACCACTTGAAAAACAAACAATGGCACAATAAGTAAATAAGAGTATTAGGACTCCGAGTGTCTACAGCAGAGTAACATAAGGAGCAAGGTAGCAAGCCACTATGTAAGATCAGAGGCCAGATCATGAGGGTTCTAGAATTTTCTGTGACTCCAGACAAGATGGAAGCTACTGGTGTGTTTTTATCAGAGAAAGAACAAGATCTAACCTTGGTGCTAAACTCAATGGGACAGAGAGAAGAAGCGTGCTCAGCTGTGAGAGTCCAAGCAGGATCATAAATGGGCATCTCTGGATTGTTTGAGGTCAGTGGTGTGTTGGTGTGGCCCTTGTCAAATCTTAACAAATGAACAGATTGCCCACATTTTGAAACTGGGAGATTTCATGTCAAATGGTAAATTCCTGGTTTCTTTGGAAGATTGTCACATTCTGGGGCCACAGCCTATGTGGGCACCATTGAGGGCATGAGCACCTATGGGTACAACCAGGATGGCAGGAATATCAATTTGCTGCTTAAAGGAAACCATAGGCAAAGAAAACCCCTCTGAAGATCTTGCAAGAAAGAAAAACACAGGAACTATACTTCCTACCAAAGAGGCAGCTTTTGGTGGGACTCGGTGTTCCTCTCCATGAAATCGACAGGACTGCAGAGGAAATGGGTGCGAGGGGGGACTGTCCCCCACGTAGCACATGCACATTTAGGAGAGCATTCCCAGGAAAGCTAAATACTAGTGTCTTTAAAAAAAACAAAACTCTCATTAGAAGAGTTTTCAAAGGTGTGCAAAAGCAGCAACACACATGCACATCCCCCAGTCTCAGCTATGATCAGTTTCTTGCCAGTCTTGTGCCGGATTCTAATCTCTTACCCTCTTCCTCTATGTTGTTCTTAAGCAAATGCAAGACATCATACAATTTTATCTGTAAATGTTTCAGTGCATGTGTCTCACAGGTCTCCCTCTTAGCATCACTTCGTTATTGTGGTCACATCCACTGTGTTCACTTCCTTCCTCTGGACAGGAAGCTGACTGCCTGTACCTTCTGGGGTCTCAGGTATCATACAGATAGTAATTGGAAACAGGATATGGCACCACGTAGGCTGGGGGCCGATGGCCACCTTACCTGATGGGATAGTCTGCGGCACTGAGGTTGATGAAAAAGTCCCAGGGCCAGTCAGTCATCTCCAGGAGGTCCCGCATGCTCTGTAGGTAGGTGGACAGAAGGCTGGCTCCCCCCCAGATGGTGGCCATCCTCCAGGGGGTGACGCGGACATTGCTGTACTGCCTGGCGAACTGGAGCACTTGCCGGTGCAGGTAATTAGAGCGCTTCCCCAGGAGAGAAAGGGTGACATTCAGCAGCCCAGAAAACATCAGCCACTGACAGTTTTCCTTTCTCTGTCCCTTCCCCTCCAGCTGACAGTGTCTCATGGTCCTGCTAGGAGCAGGTCTTTCTCTTGAAATATCTCCTTTCCCTTCTTTACTGAAGATATAATCATGTAACTTCAGTTGAACAAAGGAAAACTATGGAATAGGATAGCACAGGAGTCAGCAAGTTGGCTGCAGTTGTTGTTAATAAAGTTTTATTGACACATAGGCATATGCACTTGTTTACATGTTTTCTGTGACTGCTTTCACACTGCAGGGACAGTGCTGCATAGCTGTGACAGAATATATGGCCGGGAAAGCCTAAAATATTGCCCTTCTTGATTTTGATAGAAAAAGTCCTGCTCCTGGAACAACCAATTCTACAAAGCCTGGGAGGGCAGAGGCAGGCTGAGGGCACCAGGAAGTGAGGAGAAGAGGAAGAAAAAACAGTTCAAAAGCAAAAATAAAGTTTGCAGAGTGGGTGAGGCCAACAATAGTGAAGTAACTACTTCAGAAAAGAGTGGAAAAGGATTGTGAATGATCACACCACAAAGAAGCGGGAAGCTTTTAGGGCAATGGTTATTCCAGTTACCTTGAACTGATCAGTACACCACGTATATATGCATCAAAATATAATGTGGAGTTCCCACAAAGATGTATTATTATTACATGTCAAGTAAGAATAAAAAGGAAAAAAGAAAAGTAATGTTACAGAGAAAGCTGAAGCTGGAATCTTGGAAAAGCAACACATACTTTAAAATCCTTATGACTCAGCCTTAGCCTGGACTTGGGTTGGAGGGATCAGAGGACAGAGAGATTGCAGACAAAGCTCAGCAGGGGCGATAGGAGGTGGTTCCTCACCTTGTCCACGTGGATATAGTAGAAGTGGTCTTTGTGGTAGATGGCCTTGAACATGCGCTGCAGCTGCCGAGAGGCACGGCCGTGGACCACCAGGACAAAGGCGATTCTGACCGGGTTGGCCGGCATGTACTCCACGGAGTCTTCATCCCACTGGACATTCTTGTTGGCTTTGCCTGGGGGAAGCCAAGACCACAGAGGTGAGGCTGAGGCTCGGCTGTCCTTTCTGGGGGGCGGGGTGTTTCTCTGATATTTCCCCAGAACACAGCAATCTGACTGGGGTCTGAACTTGACCCAACATAGCCAAGCCTATCCCAGACCCTCAACCTAAGAAGCATGGAGGGGAGCAGGACCCTGGGGTACCCGTGGCACAGCTTCTACCCTAAGGAGCTCACACAGGCTGATGGAGACAAATGGCCACATAAGAAACTATGGAACATGTCAGGAGGAAAGAACTGTGTGAGCCAAGGCTCTGGACCCTAGAAGAAGCTGTAGGTAACCCTGAGGTAGGAACTCTGAGATACACACTTTGTCCATCCTCCCTTCTTCTCCTAACAGCACCCATGATATTTGTTTGCTACTGGCTTTACGTTTTGGTGAGAACAGATAACATGAGCTCTACCATCTCAGCACATTGCAAGTGTACAGTACAGTATAGTGTTGTCAGCTAGAGGCACAGTGTTGCACGGCACAGCTCTGGAACTTGGTCCTCAATATTCTTCAAGACCATCCCCCAAGGGACGAGCCAATAGAGGTGAGGAAAATCAACTCAATGATGAACCGGGGTGGTCCTGTAGCTTGGGCCTTCCCATCAGAACTCTGCATGGCCCTGGCTGCAGATGGATGAGTGACTCAACCATGAAAATTAGACAATGAGAGATTCCACACTGCTGTCATAACTATCATGTAGGGAGGTTCTTTTTCTGCTGGATTGCAAACTGGAAGGTCCCGAGAGCTGGTTTGCTCCTATGTGGAGAGGAGTTGCAAGGAGAAACCAACACAGAGAAAGCATTGTGGAGTGCTGGCCAGTGTCCAAGCCCTACCACCTGGCCCTGAGCTCCTGAGTCAGCCACCATCATAGGTCATCATATGCTGTTCTTCTTTTAAAACCAGATCTTACACCAGATCCACCAGGACTTGGTTTCATACATCTTTTATCCTGAAATCAGCCTCAAGGCCACTCCTCTCCTTCTTTCCTTTGCAAATCCTCCAGGGGCAATGGCTTAGGGAAAAACAGCTTCCTGCCTTAGTGCATTATAATTCCAGCTCAAAATCTCCTGGCTTTCCTAAGCCTGAATTCCTTTGGATCTAACCAGCTTTCTTCTGGGATCTTGGTTTATGGTGAGGGCATCTCTTCCAGGTATCCCAGGAGGTGAACTGGAAGCACAGAATGCAGACCATTTCACCTGGTGGGGGGCCATTTCACCAGGCCCGGGAGCCGGTCAGGGGCCCTCAGAAAGCTGATGGCTGCCAAAGGAATGAGGCTTGTTCCCTGTGCCAGAGGACGGGGTGAGGCTCACGGGGCTGAGACAAACTCTTTTACTTGCCACGTGCCTTCTTGCTTTTCCTTGAACAAAGCTCATCCTGCCTCAGGACCTTTTTGTGGGCCATTCCTGCTATTTGGTCTATTCATGCTCCAGATCTTTACATGGCTGCATCTTCTTATTGCCAGTTCACAGCCCAGAAAAAGAACAACTGCCCCCACCCTCCACGTCTTTCACTCACTCTGTTTCAATTTGCTGCATAGCATCAAACACCATCTGAAATAGTTTATCTGTTCATTGTCTGAATGCTCCACTAGAGCATAAGCTCAAGAGATGAGGGGCTATTTCAGGCTTGTTTACCATTGCATATGTAATGTTAGGACAGTATCTGGCACACATCTGCTTCTTGATCAAAAAACATTGCAGAGGGTACCTACTGGCTCAGTGCAGTCATAGTATCTTCACTGCCCTTGATAGTCATTGTCTCATTAATCCTCGTATCACTCCACTATTATCCCATTTTTCAAATGAGGAGACCATAGCTTAGAGCAGCCAGGGGATTTGTTCAAGGTCACACTGAGTAAAACTGAGATCCAACACAGGCCTTATTTTTAAGATCATACCCTTAATGACTAATGCAACCCACATATCATATTCATACTGATAGACTTTGTAAGTTACTTAGAGCAGGTAAGTAGGCATGTAGTTAAGGGCTGTCATAGGTTGTCAAAGGAGATTTTTATATTTGATGGGAGGCTAACACTAAGAGTTTAATAAAATTACCTCCATCTATGCATTCATCCATCCATATGCATATCCATCCATCCATCCATCCATCCATCCATCCATCCATCCATCCATCCACCCATCTACCATTTAGCCAAATGTAACCACCCTTCCATTCAATCATAGCAAACCATCCAACTACCCATCCAACAAAACACCCAATAGCCTATCATGACAAATATCTCCCATCCATTCACAACTTAGGAGATCAGCTTACTTTTTCCTGAAGCCATGGATGTCTCTGGCCATAGCTGTTGAATGAGTGAGTAAATCAGTGCAAGAATGAATGTATCCAGAAGACTGGTTGTTCTGATCCAGAGGTGCTAATGTTTCCCCAGGGCCTGTTGTGCATTAGCAATGTGATGGAGCTCTGCATATATCATGATTTGACCTGGGGAAGAGTGTGTTACCATCCTTTAAGGCCCAGAAGGGTTGAGATGTCACACAATGAAGACAGAGGTGGAAGTAAAAGTCAGGCAGCAGTAAGTCCAAAGCCACTCTGCTATGTCTGCTTGCCTTCTGCTGAAATGGAGAGTTAGAAGGTAGGGCTGGAATAGGGTCTCTGCACTGGTCTCTATCATATGTAGACAAGCCTTGTGAAACTTTTATTTAGGGTCATAGAAAGCAGAGAAGATTCACTGATGGAGACATGGATGTTATTCTTCTGGGGAACAGGAAAGAAGGCTGGGAAGTCAAACACAATTACTCTAGCAGAACAACTTCTTCAGTTTACACAATCATCCCTGGGTCAGATAGTTGGGATGGGAAGCCACAATAAAAGAGGGGATGAAAGTCCCTGCAGTCCAGCTGTTGCCAGGAGGCGTGAGTGCTAGGAGCAAGCACATCTTGAAAAAGGAGACACATGTCGAGGGCATAGTGGATACGGGAAAGAGAGGCCAAGGACAAAGCAAGCAGCCCGAGAAAGTCCAAGAACTTGTGAAGTGCCTTTGTCAGTGCACGATTTTATTCATTTTGGACCCAGCCACTATGGAAAGGAACTGTTTGACACCCAGAAGTTCCCAATTAATAAATAACTGAATTGAAAAAGGGGTGAGTCCATGATCGCAGAATCCTGTCATTGTCACTGTGCAGTCCTCATTGCATAAAGAGGAAAGATCTGTTCCTAGAAACATATTGGTTGACTTTGAGATGCAGAACAGCAAAAAATGCCATGTGCTCAGAGCTGTCCTAGGGCTTTACAGACATGGGACTCGATGAGAGGCTGAAACCCTAACACCACCCAGCTGAGAAAGAACTTCAAATTTAACAGTGGAATCCAATTCTCATGGACCAAACAGAAAATAAGTGGGAAAATCAGAGCGATGAGAAGCAGCGAGAGAAGCTGACTTCAGATGCATGTTAAAAAGCCAGGTTTATCGGGAGGGAACAGTGAGTACATTCTGCTGTGCAAGTGTGAGAGCTGGGCTAGGGCTGGGGAGAGCCTCTAGGAATGGGCTGTGCCTCGTAAGCCTCTTAGTGCAGCTCTATTTTTCAGTATCGTTGCAGGTCAAATAAAGACTACCTAATCCCGGGGCTCTAAGGAGATGGTGGAGATGAAGGTGCTTTGTAGGGGTCAACGTGGCTCTCCCTTCTTATCTGTAGTTTTGGTTTTTGAGGTTTCAGATGCCAATAGTCAACTTCAGTATGAAAATATTAAATAGAAAATTCCAGAAGTAAAATGAGGTCGCAGATAACATAGTAAAATATTAAATAGAAAATTTTAGAAATAAAATAAATGATATGTTCATTATAGTATTGTTATAGTTTATTATCTGTTGCTTATCATATATTATTTTATTATTATTCCCTAACTGGAATGTTTATTCTACTACATAACTCTCACTATGGCTAATTTATAAATTGTGTGCTATCACAGATATGTGGGCATAGGAAAAATTTTAACCTTCAGCTCTCCCTGTCCATGGGTTCTGAAGCTGTGGATTCAAAACAAAGCAGAGTCAAAAATATTTTTTTAAAAATGATGTCTCTATTAAATATGTGCAGACATTTTTTCTGGCCATTATTCTCTAAACTAGAAAGTATAACCACAATTTACTTAGAATTTCTGCCATATTAGGCATGAAAGGTTACGTAGAGGGGCTTTAAAGTCTGTGGGAGGATGGTGCACAGCTACACGCGATTACAACACCAGGTTTGTCGTGGACTGCAGCATCCACAGACAGAAGCATGACCGCGGATACAGGGTTTGTACTGCCAATGGTTTCAGGCACCCCATTAGTTGGTGTGCTGGGATTTATGTCTGAGAGCTATAGGGAGACTGATAGACAAATATGATGTCAGAGCTGGCCACAGTTGTGGTGCATTGTGGGGACATGACCTGGGGGAGAAGCCAGGTGCACAGGTTTAGAGGATTGTCTCCTGCCAGTGGACTGTTACCTCTAGACTGGTCATGGTATAAGGTTATAAATGGGCACGTAAAGGGATGATGAAAAACCGTAGTGAATGTTTAAATTTAAAAAAAAAAACAAAAAACGGTTGCAGTAAAAGACAAATTGTCACTAATCCCTTGAAAATTCTCCCCTTCCCATTAAACACACTCATCTCGTTGTTGCACTCACGGAAGAAGTTCTGGAAGTCTTCTCTCATGAGTGTATTTATCAAAAATACAGTGAATGGTGCTGCTGAGTGCCATCTACCAGGAAGGCTGGCTTTAAAGACATCCCGGGGTGTCCTCACTCACTGGATCTGACTCTTGGAACTTCAAGTTTTCCCCCAAAGTAAAAATGATCACAAAAGGTAGCTATTTTGAATTGATTCAAGACATTTAGGTGACGCCACAGGGTGACTAAATATACCCATGAAATAGGACTTCCCAAACTATTCAGAAAGTGATAGGAATGGTGGGTTGGTGTGTTTCAAGCAAGGGAAATATTTTAAAGGAGTGT